AAAAGGACCCCACACGCACTTCAATCCACGTGCACTTCGATCCTCCGGACCGATCGCGGACCGACGTGTTTCTTTGAAGCCGGTGGATGTGCACCGTCCAACTCCTCCGGTCAATGGATAACCGGAAGTCATGTGCGGGAGGCCATCGCTACCCGGCAACGGAAGACGGATCCACCAAAGAGAGCCATGAAAACGTGTCCTTCAAGCAGAAGGGGAGGAGTAGTCCTGGACCCTAAAGAGGGTGAAGACAGTGCACTCAGCATCCTCAGAAGTGCTGACATGTCTCAAACTATGTCTCAAATCACATCCCAAATTGGCTTGCCAGGCAAGCAGATGCCTACGCCCCCAAAAACGGCCGCGTGCCCGGCGTCGTGGTCGAACCGTGCCTCTGACAGTCCTGGAGAGGGGGGGAGCCGGATCTGAGGCGGACCATGGGAAGCGCCAGACTGGATGCGCAAGTGACGTCGGTAGACAAAGCTTGGTGTCCAGCTTCTTCGCTTTTGGGACCTTTGGAGACCTCTTGGTGGGGCATCACCCGTGACCTCGAGTGACCCTGTCAGGCTTGACGAGTCTTAGGCTTTTCCCTCCAGCGCCCCTTCAGCTGCGGCATCGGATCATCTGGGGAGCTCACCAGGTGAAAGAGCTTCACAGATACCAACAAGAGCGAACGAAGGACCCAAAGATTCGACTATATATATATATATATCATTATCCCAGTTCGGTAATCCAGGTGACGGGTCCGGAACATTCAGGTCACTGGATACCTCTCTTGATATGGAACAACTTGGTCTACCTCTCGTGCTCACGTCCAAGCCTGTGACTCATGCGCTTGTCCAGTGGATGGCTAAGCAAGGAAGACACGATTGAAACGACAAGCATGGTCACGCTGGCCATTTCTAGCTATAGTAGGGAATGATTAGGAAACTAACAATGTAGCTCCTTGGCTCCCGTTCTAGGAGGGAATCTGGATACCCTGGGGCTCCTTTGCTCCCTCCGGCTCGCACCAAGCAAGCTTCGGCGTGAGCTTGGTAAACTGCCTTCCAACCATCCTTCCACGGACAATCCCTCACCGGCTGCTCCCATCATGAATCATGTAAGCTTCCCTTCGGCCGCAGCCGGGTGGAGTCGGAGATGGTTGGAGCAGCCAATGGGACCCTGGCTCTCAGCCGAAAGCTCCAGGCACCTCTCTTTGATGAACCTACCCAGGGATCGCCGAAATCGCCTGTCCTGGCCATCGCTCTTGGTGGACCTAGGTGGCACGGAGGGAAACCAGAGAGGCGGGTCGTGAGTGGTGGAACGTGCCCAGTCCGGGCGGTTTTGGTCGTGGTGGAAGGCGAGGATCCAGCGACTCACATGACTCACCATGACCTCCCATGACTCCCATACATGACTCCTATGACCTCAAAGGAGGCTTCGAGACACTCAATGACTGACTGTGTGACGTATTGTCCATGTGGCAACACTGAAGCCAGTTTCTTGGAGGGTGAGGCAAGTCTGAAGAAATCATGAACGGAACACCCTATAAGATCCTATAAGATCTATAAGGAAAAGGCACGACCGTTCCCAGGTTAAGCACGATTCCCTACTACCAGCAACCAACCAGGCTGGTTTCGAATTACAGAGTCACTCTTCTCCTCGTCTACTGTGCATGGCAACCACCTAGACTCTAGACCTACCAGCCTAGCAACTCCTTGATGGAAGTCAAGGGGATGTTCAGCAGCGTGTCTATCACAGCAGCCTGCTGTCACAGCAAAAACACACTCCCGGGACCTTTGGCGCCCCATTCCGAGAAGGTTGAAGCACTGGCAGCAGTGGAAAATTGCATCAGGATGGACTAGGTTTGCCCCATGAAAGGGGAGGGTTCACTTCTGATTCTCCATCCAAAATCTGTTACAGGCCACGACCACGGTGACCACGAGAGTGCATTGTATTGAATCTCGGCTGGGCCAACCCTTCATCGACACCTCTTAGTGAAAGCATACCTACCTGGATCTTGGGTGAAACACCTCCCGCATCGTGGAGCTCGTAGCTGAAACACCAAGCGGCTCCATTAGCCGGTTCCAGGCATTTCCCTGGCACGACGCTGCTTGCGCACGACAGTTCTGGGCACCAGATCTGCACAAATGTTTTTCGTGCCGAGCGGATGAAACGCATCGTCGTCCACGGAACTGTCGACGGAGGCCTCCAAATCGGCCCCAAAGCTCTCAAGCCCAATCAGCCGTTATGTCAGGTGTTCTGTCGGGTGACCCGGGTGACTTGGCGCAGGTCTGACTCAGTTCACCAAGCCGTGTGACCCCAAAGCAAAGCGACACTCAAGGGCTCTCACTGACAGGCTGGTGATGGGAGGTGGGGCCACAGAACCCGAACCAATGAGGGACCGGCGCTGGTGAAACCCACAGCGTCTGGGCCGGACTCACGGCACCCCATGCCCCATGCTTCTCCCATTTCTGGATTCTGGATTGAAGGCCCTCAAAGCGCCAGGAAAGAAGGAGGCGATGAGCATTGGATCGTTTTTGCTGGCACACACCCATCGGATTAAATGATGTTTGAATATGGTTGATGCTCTTCCCGAAACCTTCCCCTCACCTGTCAAACCACTTCGGGTGGGTTTGCTATGGGTGGCCCTCATGAACTCACATCACTGAATCACGAACGACCGACCCGTTTATAAAAACGATGGATGTTGTTAGTTGTTGCCATTTTGTTGCTAATGAATTGTCGCTGAGTTGGCTCTCACTGCCCGATCGAACTGGTGATCGGGGTCGGTTTCCTACCTGGATCAATTTTCTGAAAAGGACGGCCACCTCCCTCTTCATGATTTTGGTCAAGGCCCCAGGCCTGTGGTAGGCTGCGATGGACTGGAGTACTGCTGGTGCTGTCTTGCAAGCGATCCTGGGCAGAACTGGGTACATCTCCCATACACTCCATGGGACTGCCGATCTATGCCGATCAGGTTTGGTGCCGCCAGCGGGGGTCCATGTAGATCATGTATATAGGCATATTATTCCAGTCCCATGGAGTGTATGGGTGAGATAGTCGAACGTTCGGGTCGGAAACTGTGGAAGATCCAACAGGACCCCGTCACTGACGGTTCCAGAAGATGTCCGTTTTTTGGTTTCGAGGAGTTCCGCGCTGGCCATGAAATCTTCAGGATCCTTCCAATCCGAAAAACGAGCACTATCTTTGAAACACCTGGCAGTGTCCTTGACCTTTTTGAAGTGTTGCTTTCTCTTCCGTTGACTTTGGGTCTGGGTCCCATGCAGGTGAGCCCTGGCCAGCCATGCAGCTCGGGGCATACGTGGCTTCCTGAGTGCCCCGAACAGAGGTCTGTGACTTCAACCTGAGGCGGCCGACATGCGGTCGACCGGTCACGGAGGACCTGACCCCTGCGAGGTGCGAACAGGCCGGGAAATCCCGCTGGCTCCAAGCTCGGACCAGGCGGGGAAGTGAAAGATCGCGCTGCAGAGGTCTATAGAAAAGCAGGAGAAAAACACTGAAGCCGGCGAAGTATATACTTGTTAACTCCCGGACAGAAGTCCGTCCTGACATGGGGGAGGAAGTTTGAAGTGAGACATGGGGGCGAGTGTAGGAGGAGCACGACCTCTGCTTTCTGAGACTCCCCAAATCTTTCATTGGCGATGCGAGACCTCTTCCCCCTTTTTGTGATGTTTTGGTTCTAAAAAACACCGCACCATAAAAACGTATAAAAACACATCTTCGGCGAAGAAATGCCAGGTTCTCCCTTTGGTCGACTACTATCAGGTTCTCCCGTTGGTGAATACTGGGTCCGGGAGAAGATGGCAGATAGGAGGCCTTCTGCCCTTTCAGTGGCAGACGGGGAGTAGCCAAAACAGGTCGACTGAATGGCAGCAAGTCATACCCTAGGGATCCAGTCGTACCTTCTCAGGTACGGTGAGGACGGAGACTGTTTATCTAGGCGCCTGGGGTTTTCGTCCAGTCGTACCTCCTGAGGTACGGCAGTGGATCTTTAGGGATAGTCTTCTTCTCATTGCTCCGGCCCATCTTCTCCCACTGGGCCACCCGAACATGCGCAATCGGTCACCCTGGCACGTCGGTTCCGGTCACAGCGAAGCTTCGGTCCCGGGTCTCTGGTGTATCACTGGCTCCAAGCCCAGCTCAAGTAGTCCTAGTGATGCATCCTTCTCATACATGGAGCAAAACTGGATAGCTGGGTTGTTTCACATATTTATGATAATGTGTAATATGTTTTTTTTTGCGTTTCCTTTCTGGTGTGTATTTTTTCTCGGGCAGCTCCCCACTTCCCATGACCAAACATGGAAGGAAACCGACCACAGATGTTCCCATCCTGGGTCGTTCAGGACCATCCGTTGATCGGATGTCCCGGAGGCCAATTCTCTGGTTTTCGCACGTGCTCACCTCGGTTCGAAGGTCCAAGAAGGGGCACCTGGATCCTATATGTGGTGAATTCCTCCAAAATGCTGAACCCTCATAAGAGCCGCAAATCTCTGCATAGATCTGCATTTGTGGGATCCCTTTGCACAAAAAAGATTTGAGTGGAAGGGATGGCCCGTGAAATGCCAGATTCTCCATGGATCAACTGTGAATCGCAGCCACCTTCTGGCAATCCAAAGGGCTGTGGGTCAAATACCAATAATCCTGCTTGACCCCCTGAAACTGAATCATTCGATGCCTATTTAAGGCATGTCAACCTTGCGTGCTTTGTAGGGTGAGGCATTGACCCCACACCCAGCGATCGCCGAACTCGCGTGGAGAACTCGGCCCCTCACGTCGTCGACGGCCCCGCCTTCATCTCCGGCGGCTTATCCGCACGTCGGAGCCATAGGGTGATTGGCCCCGAGCGCGCCTGCACGCGCGGTGGGTGCAGCGGTGGGTGCGGCGGAGGGTTGGTTGAAGCGAATCCGGGGAAGCGGAAAAAGGAATGGTCCACCTTATTGGGAGGTGATGTCTCATGCTTTAGCTCCTTACAAGTGTATCATGAGAGGTATTTTCGGTAAATACTGGAGAAATGGATATTTTCTTTTCGCAGTTCGCGGCCCAGTCGGAAGAGGAAGATCCTGGGTCATTCGTCCACCATCGTGCGCCACTTCGAGACACTGCCGGCTTGAGTCCCCACATGGCGGTGTGTTTCTGGTGTCTCGCAGGTCACTCCTTTGGCGCGAATTCCTTCACTCCAACGGCACGTCTCGGTGCATCCGCTCCAGCCGCCAGCTCCACTCGCGGGCGCCGTGGCGGCCATCTCCACCGCCGGCTTCCCGCTGGAGGGAGCCCGTCCTTGGGGGAGGAGCGCGGAGGACCGGAGCGACTGGCCGAGCATCTCAATTCTCGGATGATGCGGAGGTTCTTCACTTAGACATGGAACCACAGGCTAGTGATAGAAAGAGACCTGAAATAACTAAGATCCTGATCATCTAGAAGTTCAACCAAGAAGCTATGAGCGGGGCGGCAGAAGTCTGTCATGAGCTGCTGCTCTTCTCCTAGCGCAAAAGAGCCATGCAAATCATGGAGATCAAAATTCATGGCACTCAAGTTTGTCTCCTTCTTGCGCTTCTTCTTGTCCTTGTCTTTCTTCTTCTCCTTCTCCTTCTCCTTCTTCTCTTTCTTTTTCTTGCTCTTGTCCTCGGAATTTCATCGAACCCCTTTCCAAAGCAGCCAGCTGCGCTCCTCACAAACAACACCAAATTTTACCTCACCTGGAACTTCGCCTCTAATGCATGTTAGCACCCAGACCATCCATGTATCGCATGTATGGCCGATGTAAAGCTACATTGGGGGGGGTTCAGGAGTGAATGTAGGCATCTATGCCAGTCCCATGGGGGTGCTTATAGGGGTATTTGAGATCATTTCGACTGAGACGCCGCAAGGACATGGATCTTTTACACCCAGTGGGTGCCCTGCGGGTCCCAGGTCTGCGGCCAGATCAGGCTTTTGAAGGCTTCGGAGTCGGTGATCCCCACTTCTGCTGCTTGGGAGAAGACGTGAATGCCTGGACCCACCAACCGCCCGGGTCAGCCCGGGTCGCAGCGCCAAAGGCCGACTACCAGAAGACATCGGAATCGGCACGGCATTCCGCGCGTGAACCCCGCGTGGAACCCGCTGACGGGGTGAGAAGAAGTCCATGGCCCTGGACGTCCGAATCTTCTGAAGTCGAACACTTGAGACACAAAGACGCGCTGATGAAAGCTTATTTCTTATGAAGCACACTTGATAAGAAATAAGCGCTTATTTATGAATGCTTATTAGCTTTCTGGTTGTTTAAGCACCATTGATCCCCAAAGCTTTTGAATCTTTTGACGGCCAACAAGAGCAGTCAGTGACACTCAGACCACCTGAAACTCATCATGGGTTGGGCAGATTCAACAGGACCTGGAAAATAAGATCAAATAAAGGACCAGTTAGTTGGTTTGCCTCTCTCTCTCTCTCTCTCTTTCTGTGCAGGCTTAGCTCTCTAGGTAAACGCATGGCTTCAGGAGGTCTATCGACTACCCCTTGGCCCCAACTTGGGTGCTGGATGCCAACTGTTGGCGATCTAGTGATCTACCCCTCCCGAAATAAAACGCCCAAAAAGGCATCAAACCTGATGACCCTCTACAACCGATTGGAAGGAATCTGCCCGTCATCTTGAAGCTCCAAGAGCGCCTGACTCCTTCCGTCGTGCTGGAAACTCATGCAAAGCTGATCAAGCCTTGTTACACCTGGTGGCTTTCAGTGGGGAAACCAAATCCCCGCAAAAGGTTACAGTAAAGAGTAAAGGTTGCTCACTGTGGGGTAGGTTTGGGTCTGTGGGTGCGATCAAACACCATGGAAAACCGGTGTTTTGCCAATGGATTGTGGTATGGCAGGTGGACTAGCCACCCGCAAAGGCCAAAGGATCCTTCTTATCGACGGCAGACTGTCCAAGCATATTTGGCTAAGGATCCTTCTTCTCTTTCTTTTCCTTCTTCTCTTTCTTCTCCTTCCTCATCTTCTCAAGGCCGCTCATCAAATCTGCTAGGCTGGACGTGCTCCTCCAGCGCCGTTGACAAATAAAGCTAGAATAAAGCAGGGCAGTTGGGGATGTCATGGGCATCAAGTCTAAAGGTGATGGAACACTTGATGGGAAAACACATCATGCAACCAAACATGTGTATGATCTGCGTTTCCTCCCTGTTCTGCTGGCCAACTTTCCTGTGGCCACTTTTAGAAAGGGCAAAGTTAGTCCTCATATGAACCAACTCTTCGAGTTCGGGCGCTTCATATTATGTGATTCCAAATGTGATTCTGATGAAAAGAAGTGCTGATTTCCCCTCTCTCTCTCCCTCCCTTCTTCTCCACCTCCCAGCTGCTCACCTGCCAGTCTGCGACCCGGTCTGCGCACTCGCCGTCGCAGTCCGCGACGGACCTCGCCCAGTGAGCAGGGCCAACTCCTTGGCCTCGTGGTCGGCAGATCTGGAGGGGGAAAGGCCACGCGCCGCGCGTCGGCGCCATCCAAAGGGCTCTAAGTCCTAGCTCGATCCGTAGTAATGTAGACTCTTGGTTAATAAATCCTTCCATTTGAATTGGAAGTCGTCTTCATATGGAGGTTTATGAATCAAGAGTCTACATTAGGACGGACATGTTAAATTACTGTATATATATATATTGATGATAAGATGACCATCTTGAGGAGACGCCCCCATCAGCCTCCGCCGCTGCCGCTGCTCCGCCACGCCCGCCCACAGCTGCCCCCGGCGGCTCTGCAGGGTCCGCGGCCACGGCGCTGGGTGGCCGCCCGGACGTGCCCGGGCGCCAGAGCCGGTCGGAGTAGTCCTCGGCGACTGCAGACGTCGTGGCCCCAGACGAACGCACAGACGTCGCGTGAAAAAGAATGGCCACAGACGCTCAGGGTGGATATGTCCACACATTTCACCACCTTTCCGTATCAGTGGATCACGATAGTCAAAATAACGATTAACATCACATGATCACACTGATGCAGGCCAGGGTGGCCCAAAGGGTCCACATCCTCACATCCCAACCAAAAGGAAAGAAACTTCTGCGTCCAGGCATCCCTCAGCTCTGAGACCTTGGAGCCGCTTTTTCGCTTCGTCTCCTGCAGTCGCCGGCGGCAAAGGTGATTCTCCACCCCCCAAGGCTTTGAATTCCTCAGCACCTTGAAATGAGTCAACAGACATTGCACTGTCGCTGTTGATGCTATTTGTTTGGTGACATGAAACCAGGGACTTAAAGAGGCAGTGGAAGTGTTTGTTCGACGCTTGAGGGAATGGGTTGGGGTTCACGCACGAAAAACATCGAAAAACCATGGGCTGTCAGAGGTGCCAGTCTCTTTCATGGAACATGGTCCGTGTTCTGCGGTAGTCCGTCGTCTCGTGCGGGTGCGATGTAGCATGAGGCCCGGGTCAACTGAAAAAAGACCATTGCCCTAAACGATCTCTGAGCGATAGATCTGGCCGACACAGGGGCACGGCATGCAAGAAGCACACGGAAACCTCTACATCATGAGACATCCTTGGATTCGTCCCCCCCCTTGGGGAAAACTACAATTCACCCTAAATTCGCCAAACCAGGGACGGGGATCAAGCTTAGTGGAGAAACATGGAGAAACCAATCCCTTTCACCAGGTGATCCACTAGTGCTCCTGGGAAGCTTGAGCATCCTAGATTCATCCACCACACCAAGTCTGAAATAGACTGAAACCATGTGCTGACCTCTACCTTTCAATCGTTTACACTTCTCTCCCAGTCTGGGCTGCCCAACAAAGGTTGAAGCCAGTTCGACTATCCCATAATTATACCCCAGTATGTCGGGTCCTGTTTCAGGTCACTGGATACCTCTCCTGGGTCTTTCCAACAAAGGTTGAAGAACCCTTTTTCAACTATCCCAGTTCGGTACCCCAGGAAAAAAGATTGTCCTATAAGACAAGAAAAATGAGCTCAGCTTAATTCACCTCTCCTCCTGGGCCTTTTTGTTTGGCGCCTGCTCTCCGCTCTCCCCACTCTCCCCGTCCAGGCCATCCAGCTCAGGAGCCGCCTCCGCTGGCGCCGCGCCAAAGGCCTCGCCGCGTGGGAGGCGAGGCCTAAGCCCACCCGGTGGTGGTTGGGGGAGAGGTTCAGGTGAGACACAACAAATGAAAAACGTCGGGTCGGGCACCAAAACATGACCAACACTGAACATAGTTTGTGTTTAAATGTGTTAAATGGGTACCTTAACACTGTAATCATTCGGCTTCTTGATGTGTCTTGGTAAAGAAACGGGTAGTTTGAAAGCCACACCTTTGGATGTTTGGCGGATGTTGGGCGGACACAGGGCACCAACTGGCACTGCCTTTGTACTAGCAGGATGCACTGAACGTCAGGTCTTCAAGCATTAGTGCGCCGAAATGATCTCTATGACTACTTGGGCCATCATGCAGAAGAAAGGGTTGCTGCAGTTTTGGTATACTGTATATGCTGATTCCCAAGGTCAACATCACATGGAGAAACGATAAAGGACACCCTATCAAACTTGAACACTTGCAAATCGACATTCTGGAGTATTGTCTTCAGACTGTCGCATTCCGCGTGTTGCAAATAAAAAAATGCCGTCTCCGATCAGCCCAACCGGTCCAAAACCAGTCTCTCAAAACGTCTGCCTCAAGTGATGCTGAAAAAAGAGCCTCCAAACATTGAGAGTTCCTTGCCTCCCACACCCAAATATACCACCACACAAGGCAAAAATTATGATGTACCTTACAGCCTAACTGTGTTTTGCTGTGTCATCAGAACTAGCTTTAGCGTACATCATAAGGCAAAAAGAAAAAAACAAACATAATTATGTTAAAAATATATCCCAAACACTCCATGGGACTGCCATATATGCTTACATTGACCCCCAGTCAACCACCCCAATGTAGGCATATATGGCATACATGGAGTGTCTGGGTATGTCTTGTACCAGGACCCTCCAGTCGGGGTGCCCTGTCTGGAAGCCTATATAGGTAGTGTGGGGTAGTATGTCCATTATGCCATTGGACACCCCGATGGTCGGAGGGTCCAGGTATGTTGAATCGGGTGTTCCGTCCTGGCCCCGGCGGCCCCGATGAAGACGGTGAAATTCCATGGGCTCGCGGCCCTGGCATCGTCGCTGCGTGCAGCTCTGCAAAGGGACGATATCGGAGGGGGGCACCTCTGGACGTGAGACCTGGAAAAGCACAACGAACGAACGGATCACCTTTCGTTAGACCAGTTTTGAAGTGCCCCTTCATCAGGTCACCTATAGACATTATAGACAGACCATTCTTTTTACTTTCTAGCCTTTAACATCTTTAACTCTCAGGGTTCACCGTTGATATGCAGAGGTTAAAGATGTACTATATCCATTCGTGGAATACTGTGGAGTGCGTAGTGATTCAGGGAGACTGATTTGCCATACCTTCTGCACTTTGAGCTCGTCTTCACCACTTGAGGCGCCTCTTCAGCTTGCGCCAGCTCCCAACCGCTCCGCTCCCGGCGCCTCGTTGATGCGCCGCTCGACCGCCTCGGCGGCGCGCGTGGCGTAGCCGCCAGCGCCGCGCGGCGAGCGGCCGCGGTCGTCGCCGCTGGCCTCGTCCTCAGGCGCGGAGAAACGGTTGGGGAAGTACTGATGGATCGTAGTGGGTGCGCCACATCTTCAGATATTGGGAGATAGATGGTTCGATGGTTCGCCCCGTCTGCAGCCCGTCTGCATCGCGTGAGAGTGAGCACCACCCATAACATTAACATCCCAATACTAAACTTCCTTTCAGGGGCTCTTCAGCTGGAAAATGCTGTGAAGCCCACCTGTCAACCAGTGATGAATTCCAACTATACTCAAGCGCTCCACTTCCGCTCCAGATCAAACCCGAGAGCTCAGACATGTGGAATTTCACAACCCCCAGACATTCCATGTATGCCACATATGCTTACATTGAACCCCAAAAACACCCCAATGTAGGCATATATGGCAGTCCCATGGAGTGTCTGGGATATACTAACGTTAACCCTTTCTCTTGCACAGATGCGCAGCCACCCTGTTCTCCGGCCCAAAACGGCGTCCGTTTCACCCTCGGCCGAGTGACGTCATCCTCATAATCCTGAGCAAACATCCCGTTTCCGCCGAAGCTCGCCCAACTCACCGCGCCATGGCGACGGACGTCCGGCTCCGGGACGGGATGAGAAGTAACGCGTTGGGGACAGAAAATGGAACACCGCGTTGGACGGGGATCGAATTGTTGGGCCGAGCCGGACGTCTGAAACGCCCTGCCAAAAGGCCTTTCAAAGGCTTGTGATTCATATGAAGAAACCCCATAGGCTAGAGAGGCTGCAGGCTCATTGCTAGGTGGGTCGAGTCGTTTTCCGTTCGCGACTCCTGGGGCGACTCCTGGGCCGACTCGGCGCATCGGACGTGATGAACTCAGTGCTATGCTAGTTACGTTCAGCCCTACTTCAGACTTGGTTTCAGGGACTTGGACTTGGACCATGAACCATTTTTGAGAGGCTGTCCCTTTGGGTCGTGCGCCCCATCTGCATTCGCTTAGGTGCACCACATTTGAGACTTGATGAATCTCCAACCACGGCTTTAACTATATATATATAGCACACCATCGCTAACCTATAGCCACTCCGCTTTCAGTCAAGCTCAACTTCCGGACTTGAGCCAAGCAAAGAAGACGCGCTCAAGTACGGCCCAGTTGACCAGGCTTTCCGGCTTTCCCGAAAACGCATCGCTCTGTACATCACATCAGCACCGAAGACCAAGGCCACAAAAATCAGGAGAAAATCCCAAGAACCACCGTCCAGGAGTCACATCGTCCAGGGTCGGGGTGGTTGAGGGTTGGGCGCATTTGGGCTCGCTGTTGGGCGGCTGCCCCAAACGCCCCATTCGCAAGGCATCCTAGGCATCCTAGCACCCTTCTCCCATCCTAGCACCATTCTACACTCTGGTGTTAACATCCTGAGTCGCAAGAGCTCGGTCCGTTCTCGACTTTGGCTTATCAAGGGTGGTTGGAACATGGGGGATTGGAGTCGGATGGAGCTGAGACATTCGGATCAGGTGTCCGGGATCAGGTGCAACACACCGCGCTATGCGCGGTCCATGCAGTTCCACGGAGCTTAGGATGCTATCCATGGAGGTAGCGAGAGGGGTCTGTCCGATGAGAGGTGCTCAGCTTGAGCTGGCTCAAGCTGGAGTCCAAGTTCTGCCAAACCCCTTCGCCACCCTTCGCGAGGGAGGTGTTCACCCTGCGAGTTAGCGGTGCGATCCTGGGTTTTTCCATGTGCACGTACCAGCCAGAGCCTTCAGTGGGGCCATACACGTCATGTCGTTGGATCTCACTGATCTACCTTTCGTGATCTCTTCATTTCTCGCGGTGGAGAGCTTCTCATCTCCCATTCACACCCTCCACTGACTCCTGCCCACTCACTCGCCACGACCTCCATCAGGCAACATCTAAAGAAACATGTGGCAACCGAGTGCCGGCTCCTTCCTTCCTTCCTTCCTTGCTTCAGGGAGGATGAACTGGATACCAGATATACCGATATCAAAGTGACCCTCAGCCGTCGCTCCCGCCGCCATCGCAGCAGCTAGCCGACCCGCGCCTCTAAGAGCGCTCTTTGCAGCTTCTGGCCCGCCCCCTCCGCATCGTTCACGCCTAGCAAGGAATGAGGGAACCCTTTTTCAATTACATCCATGCCCTGGAACGTTCTGAGCGTTGTGTGACTGGCATGCGGCCATGTGGCGAAGTGAACTCCCAAATCTCAAGTCTGTGTGACAAGAAGGAATCGACCATGAACACACACACACTTATGAATCTGCGTACTGAACTGAAAGCGGTTTGCCACACGCCGGCCTAGGTGACCATTTCCTATAAGAGTGCATGGAAGAACCACCGGACCTGGAGGTCTTCAAGATCACAATCCTACAGGCTGTGATTCCAAGGGGTACACACACACACACACCTCGACTCAAGAACAATTCGGCACTCTGCACGGAAATGACCTGTGTCCAGCTTGGCAAGGAGGGGTCTTTTTGGAGGTTGCCGGCGATGACTGACCCAGAACTTCCAATGACTCATATGCTACCCTACCCAGACACTCCATGTAAGGCATCTATGAATCTATGCCCGGGGTGATTGAAAGGGACCAAAAGCGGTGTATATTCTAGTCCCATGGAGTGTCTGGGTATTGGGCTCGTTTGAAAGATGTATGTGTCCTGCCTGTGGGTACATATATTAAAAACATTGGTGAAACCATTCAAACCTTTGGAGGTTAAAAAGTTCTGAATGTTATAGAGACCAACATCTCATATAGGGATACATTGAACATCGGCAATATTCACAGCAGTTGAAGGGCTGCCTAAAAACTGTTGGATCATTTTGGATCTTGAAAAGTCGGACTTCAAGTGCTTTTGGAGTGCCCGTCATTGAGTGTCGGTTGCCCTTCTTCAGCTCAACCCGTTTCGCCCCCGTCGTTCACGCGCGGAGCGTCGACCGGGAACCCCGCGCGCCTTCGATGACCATCCCAACGAGGACCACCAAATGATAACTCCCACGCCTGACCATGGTCCCATGGAACCCTACCAGGACCTTCCTTAGGTGTCTGTAAATAGCCTCTTAGAGGTAAGAGGTTAGGTGTCCAAAAACCGGACTTGGTTTCGGTCCTGGTATGTCCTGGTATAAAATTGCCCGGGTCAACCACCCCTCAGCTGATCTTGTATTTCAGGCAATCCCGTGGTGTTTTGTCATGGAATCTTGGGGTTTCACCAAACGACCCTTGGACCTCAAAACCACCGAGGGGGCCGGGATCTGGACCAAAGCAATTTGCGCTCAGGGTCTAGAATGGGAGGTGGAGTTGACGTTTAAACAACGATCAAGAGGTACTATTCACACGGTGGGCTTCAAGTCATTGGCCCATATACAACCCAAATGATGGAGACGGGCAAGAGACAGAGAGGACTTCGTGAAATCTTCGAGCTTCTCCCACCTCATGATGGCTGGCTTCAGTTCAGCTCCGATGGCTACCAGCTCCTTCCAACGGGTCACCTGGCTGGACCCCACAATACCTAAAGGTCTCCAGCTAGGTACAACAATTTCAGCATCCAATCTTCAGATGGGAGGACTTCGCGGCGCGTCACGTGGTCCACGCACCTCATACAGGTCTTGTTGTGGTCCTCCACCCGGCTCTCCGATACCTGCGACGAGCGTCAGCCGCCTGACCCGATGAAGCTTCGGCCTTCGAACCTCCTTCGACCAGGGCCGGCTTTTGGAGGTTCCTCCGGATGTTCGATCACTTCAAAGAAAGCATCATTCAAACCAGGACCTTACCAACATGAGACTAGGTCCTTAGGCTTTTAGGTGACATGAGACTTCAGTGGTGGGTGGTCAGGACTACGACTTCGACGTGAGTCTGACTTGGGGTACAGCCTGTCTCCGACATGGCCGGCCGAAACGCCCAACATGCCAAATCCGACATGCCTGGTTTGTGACTCGGAGTTCACGCCCCCGTCCGCAATTCGTGTGAAATCACTTGATCTTAAACACAATCAATCAAAACGCATGAGAACAACGACAAATGACAAGGGGAGATTGAGCAAGGTGTGTGCTTCACTTGTCGCTGGCGCACAGGCAGAAACCCAGTCAGGCCCAGGTTCCGCCTCCCACGAACCACCTCAAAGACCTGAACCCGCGGCTCGCGCGCGCGCGCGCGCCCAAACGCGCCAACGATTTTTACGCCAATCCGCGTGAAAGACAAACGATCGTGGAGCGACGCAGGCATAGCGACTCGCTGAGCTCGTCAGGCAGTCCAAAGGGTTGCAATAAATCAACCCTGCATCCGACGAATCTTCCCATGCAAGTCAGCGAAAGGCAGCCGCAGCCCTGGATCATTCCTCCTTTGAGACACTTCTGTAGTGACCAAGCTAGCCATGATGTGCTGTGGATTGCGTAAGGTGGGGGTGGATCCACTGAACCTGGCTGCGGCAAGGAACGTACGATAAAGGTGAGATGCGCCGTAGACATCCACGCCACAGTGCAAGCAGATTCCCACACTTCCAGCAACTTCAAGCCTCAAGTTCCTGCATCATCCTACATCCACATGCGCTTTCACCACTGTCCGGCCACGCCTGTGCCTTCTTCATACAAAACAGCGGGCGCCCCGTGACCGGGTTGGTCTCAGGTCCCAAAGGCTTGTCCGTTTCGTTTCAGGACCCTGTCTGGATTGGGCATTGGATGCTATATAGAAGTTCTCCTGAAGAAGTCCCAAACCCACTTCCCACCCTGTGAGCCCAGAAAAATCCTCCTCTCTTCGGGGGGCCTGAAGGAAAAGTGGAAGCGGAGCAACGCATTCTGATATCGTTCTTGGCTTCAGGCATTCATGTCCCAAACACTCCACAGAACTGGCACATGACTGCCGAGAAACGGCCGTAGAAGGAGGCAGAGTTCTTTTTTTGGGGGGGAAAGGGGGTCAATGTAGTAGGGGTATGACTCCTGAGAAAACAAAGGTTAACCAAACTTTCTATACCTGTTCTTGTTTATAGTGAGGAGGGGCACCCCACCATTCCCACTAGATCCGCTGACCTGCAGGGGATCCACTTTTCCTCCGTAATTGCAGTGGTTTCAGAGCTTCGATGAAACCGGGCACCCCAAGATGGCCCTGGCACCCAATGGGGGTCCATAGTCAACCACCTAACCTGGGGTCACTTGTGCCATGGAGACTCTGAACCCACTGTAATTAATCGTCCAGTGCCATGGTGCCATGGAGTGGGTGTCCATTTGAGCTTCGGCCCATGTTTTCCTGGCCGCCACAGATTGATATGATATAGATGCTTAATGGAATGTCAAGGGAGGTTTTGCCTATTGCTCATTTAGGCTCCTGAGTCCCCAAAGTCGGTAAGCGTGGGCTGTGGCGGGGAGTTCGGCCGCGCGGCCGGTTCGTGCGCATGTGCGGCCGGAGGCCGCACGGAGAGGTAAGCCTCGTCTTCCACGGTGGCCCAGTTGGTGCAGTGCAGGACATGCCAACAGAGGTTGAAGAACCCGAACTAGACTATCCCAGTTCGGTACCCCAGTAAGGTCCTATAAGGTCACTTAACCTCTCTTGGTGTGTTTACCAAGTGGCTTGGGATGAGCTGACTCATGATGATTAGCAACTAAGCACGCTCTCTCTGGACCATCCACGGATGCCTAGAACTTCGCCTACACGGATTCGCTGCATCTGAGCTTGGGCACGGATTTGCTGGAGAACAAAAACAAAACCCAGATAAGGGGGTGAACTATGTCTATATAAGTGAACCTCGGAGGAAATGAAATCACTGAACATCGACTCGACCCCCACCCGAGCAAAAGATAGCAAGAGACCCACGATCGCCACGACGCCCCTCCACGATCGCCGCTCCACGGCGCCGGGGAGGAGAGGAGGGGAAGCGATGAGAAAAAGGTTGGGCAAGACCAAGTTCGCGGCATCCGTTCGCGGCAGGACATCGATGTCTCGCGTAGAATTTCAACACCAAAGAAATGACCAACAAAAAACATCACCCAAAAAAAAAAAAATAAAGCCACAGGCATTCTTGGGGTGGATTTCTTCTCGCCTTTTCACCTATCAATCCTGGGGACCAGACATGGCTGACGTCCTTCGACCTTGAGGACATCCGATCCAACTGCGAATAGATCTGTTTCGTCTGCTGTTCATAACGAGGGGGTTCTCAAAATGATCGGTGTAACCTAACAAGATGAGTAATGAGTTCTGTCAACATGTACATGCTGTGAAACAGCGTCATGAAGCTGGTGTGAACACCCGACTCTACTACACATGTTCTTTCTGTGGGCTTTGATGCCTCTTGAAGGTTGCTGACACTGTTCATACCCGAGTCAAAGCCGCTAGGCTTGAATAAAACACCGCCGTTCATCGCCGTTCAATGATTTGGCCCCACCTGCGGACACATTGGTCATCGAGATTTTACTCTTTGAAATAATCGAGTGGAAAAAACAGTTGCTTGTAGGGAAACATTGTCCAAGAGGCAACTGTCCACTTCCAAGCTTGAAAGGCTTGAAAGGGACAGTTGAACTTCCGCTGCTCAATCCCTTATCACATGACTCTCCTCGTTTCTTTCTGTGCACGTCAAGACCACTGGGCACGTCCAAAACGGCGAGTCGCGACGAGTCGGAGACGGTGACAAGATGGGGACGGTCCGTGCGTGTCGAGAAGCGATGAAGGAACAAAACACCCAGTTCTCCGAGTTCTTCAGGGCCCAGCCACACCTATAGCTACCTTGACTTCAAATTGGTCAAGGAGTCCGGATTCCGTCAGTTGTCGATGGCGCAAGGGTGCACAAAGATCTGAGCTTCTGTGACCTGCGGAGAGGAAGAAACGACCAAAGCCGCCGGTGGCCCGCGGACCGACCATGGGGGCGGGTGGCCAGGTGGAATCCCTCGTGGCGCCGATCAGTCGGCGGCGGAAAAGGGGTCAAGGTGGGCATATATATTCTCTATAGGGCTCCTTTCCCATATCCTCAGGTTCGGTGGTTAGACCCCCCTGGAATCCACCCCAACCACCTTCTCAGGAGGTAGTTGGAGCCCTAGGGATTACAAAGGGTGTCCATCTACCCCTAGAGTTGTCATATTGATATCCCTGGAGGGACCCTGAATCAATTAAAAAAATAGAAAACCAAATAGAAACAAAAAAACAAACACAAAAAACAATGACAGACTCAGCAATTCTCGCACATTCAAAAAAACACTCAACAAGAAAGCAAAGATCAACTTGGCAAAAGGAAAAGAAAAAATAAAACCAAACTCCAGACACAAAACAACATGAAGGAAAAGTACAAAAGAAACACAGATTCTTCAGTTTTTTTCCTGTGCGGGGTCTGTTCACCACAGTGTGGTGTAGGCTCAATGTTCTTGTACATGGTCTTTCATTGAGCTGTGTGACACAGGTCGCAGGGATTGAGAAAAGGCATCAGTCTCAGCAATCTAGTTAATCTAGAATCTAGTTTCGAGGTATCCAGCTTTGCTCATGGCAAAAATCACAGGAGTTTGATGGAGTTTGAACAGTACACAGCCCTTTCTGAAGCAGTGTGCAGCAAAAAATGACAGTGCGCTGTACACGATCTATCCATTGGAGACTCCAGTCCAAAGCCTGAAATGCACGTGCTCTGGCCCTGGAAAATGGACAGACACAAGTCACAAGTCGTTGTGCATAGCACTCCTTGAGCACAAAGCCAGCGCCTAAGGCCTAAGGCCTACATATTGAACACTTAAAAAAGAAACAAACAAACTTTGACTCTGACTCTTGCTGTGGTCTCTTTGGTAGTTTAAGGCACAAGATCAAACTGACCCATCCTCCTAATTTCTAAATCGCAGTCATTTGTCATAGGCTTCGGCCCGTGTTCAAGCAGGAATTTATTCCCCTCCCATCAGGATTCAGAAGTCAGATCTCGAGCGCGTTGAAGCAGCGCCACCTGCACACTCTTCTCATCAATCATCTCTCCAGCAATCAGTGCAAGCTGTGCTCGAACCGAAGGCAAGCTGGAACGTTGACGGCTACTGTGGCTGTACACAAACAAGCCTTCAGCAAATAGAGCCCTGAAATCCTTCAACTTGGCGTCCAAAGACCCGTCAGCAATCTTCTCGAGTTGGCCATACTCCGTCATCATGTCACTGTGGATGTCAGTCAGAAGCGATGCCAAAGGCTTCAATGACTTCAGATGGGCGCCAATGCTGTTAGCCACCTACAGGGGTTGGTGAATCAAACACGTTACAAGTTACAAGTTCAAATTTCCTCTCAGCCGGGCCAAGCCGCCCAGCCTGCTCAAGCCCCAAGATCTTGTTGCCAAGCGCTTTACCGTCCATTTTGGCCAAGGTTGCTCCAGCGATCTCGATGACTTCATCAAGGTTCATAGGATTCTTGATTTCACGTTTCCAGTCATTGTCTCCATTCGCCTCCATACCATTGCTTGTTGCTTTCAAAGCGCTAAGAGCTGCTGAAACTTGCCCTGCGCAAGCCTTGCAGCTCAATGCAATGGCTTCAGCAATCACTGCAGTCTTGAGGCTGGAAAAGGCAGACCCTGGATCAGTGTTCAATGCCACCTGGACAAAAGGGGTGGCATCTTTGTAGACATCACCCTGCTTGGTGCTTTCCATCGTCTCATTGGTAGTCCTCACAGTTTTGAAGAATGCAGTCACGTGCCTACCTGTCGCCAACAAGTTCAAGCTGTTGCTGTCCCTTTCAACTCGTGAAGGTCCATTTGGCCCCAAGCTCTCGTACTTGTCAATGGCATCCCTTGCCATAGCTCCGGCAGAGTAGGTGGAGAGGAGCTTCAAAAATGCATCTTCGCAAGCATTCTGAGTCTGACACTTCTTGATCACCTTCCCCAATCCAGTCTCAATGGCCCGAATCTCGCTGACATCCAGCTTGGAGGAGCACACCTGGAGTGAAATCAACCAGTGAAAAAGTTTCCAGTGCATCAGCGAACAAAAACTGGCTTAGAGCCTTAACCCTTCCCTATGACCTCTTTGGGTGCGGGTCTAAGGGGAGGACCTTGGAGCCTTAGGGCTTAGGCCTGGCCTAGAGTTCTAGATTCTAGATTCTTGGAATGCATAATCTGCCCCCGGCCTTTTGGTGCACCTGGGAAATGCTCAGGGCTACCAATTCAAAGATCTCACCACGCAGCTCCTCAGCAATCTCTTCCACGTCCCCAGTCAATCGAAGAAATTCCTCCAAGTCAAATTGAAGGTTTGCCTGACCACGGGCCTTCTCCAATGATGACTTTGCGAAGCTCTCAAGTCGACTGGTAGCAATTTCGCTGGCCATTTTCCCTCGCCACTCCTCAAGCCTCTCCCCCATTTTGGTGAGGGTCTGGGCAATCTCGGGAGGGGCACCAAGCTCAGGCAGGTTGAGCTTTGCAAGGTGGAACTCATTGAACAAAGCTAAGTTGTCCAACAGGCAGTGGACTGCGTCTGAATCAATTCCTGCGGCACCTTTGGCAGAGGCTACAAACTTGCAGACCGGGACGATCATTTGCACCAAGATCTCTTCAAGTGCAGATGTTGCACCAGGCTTTAGTCCCTGGCGCAAAGTGTCCAGCTTCGGCAAAACCTCTCCAAGGGTAGTAAGCCAAATCTCTGGCCGACATCCGCCATTGAAGGCCTGGAGCGCTGATGCAAAGCATGACTTCAAGATGGGAAAGTGTTCCTTTGCGGAACCTGCAGTCCGGTTGGTAAGGTCAGTTTGCTTCTGCCAAAACTGCTGATCAGTGATCACCCCATGAACTGTTGCCATGAATGGGTCACTCCCCTTGTAGTTCAGCAACATGGTGGAATCCTTGGCAGACAAGTCAAGGGTTTCAGGACTCGGGTGAAGCAGAACCAAGACGCCCTTGACCACAGTGTGGAGTCCCTCATAGGCATCTTCGACAGCTGAACCAAGCTCCTTAAGATCCACCCATGCAGGAGAACCCTTGCCGTTCTGGATCACGACATGAATCTTCTTCAAAAGATTGAGAAGCGGGCCTTGGGCGACACTCGTAGCACTCATGGCCTTGACAAAGGAATCGTGGGCCAAGCAGTCCGTCAAGGCTTTTGCAATCGCCTCACTTGCGCAGACACACAAACTCAGACTCAGACAGACAAAAACAGCCATTATCTATTATCTACCCTGTTGTCGTCAATTGAACCATTATATAATGTAATGTGCTGGATTCTTGTGCCTGTGACTTGGGGATACAACACGGACTATGGACTCTAGACAAAGCAGCTCTGATAATAACAATTTCTAATTTATAGCATAAAGCAATTTGCTACTGTGTGACTGTGGACTAGCTGATGCTAGCAGCTAGCAGCAGTCGTTCTCCCCCTTACCATACTGCTGCCCCACACCCCCAGCCCCAAAACATAAACCAGGAGACTGACCAGCGATGTGCCATGTTCTGCTTCTGGATGGACTCTTCATCTTCATCAGCAGGGGCCTCCCACAGGCATGGAGTGAGTTCTGCAAAGCCGCTCCTGCATGCATCCAATGTCTCACACAAGAGGTCGAGAAGGCGTGGGGAACTGGGATTGAAGTCCTGCGAATTGGAATCTGGACCAAAGTCAGGTGAAATGATTTCAACAAAGTCCGTGACCAGCGCATTGATTTCTGCCTCATCCCTGAGCTTTGGGTCAAAAAGGGCTTCGAACTTGTGAGCAGCCTCAATCACACTGATTCGAAGAGCAATCTCCAAAGGAAACTTCACCTTCCTTTGAACCAAGGCATTCACAGCCGAGAGATACTTGTTCTTGTCAATGGCCCCCTTCTGCTTGCACATGTTCGCAAGATCTCGGCCATGTTCCATTAACTCCAATCGCTTCTTCAAAATCACGGCTTGCAAAGCTCCCCTTTCCTCCATCGTTGCCAGGATGCGCTTCCCCTGCACCGAGCAAGACTCTGAGGAAACTGACATTGGGAGGGTATGTCAAACACTTGTCTACTTGAGTACTTTGACATTGAAACCCTTTCGTTCCTTGGTTTTCAAAGTTAATCTACGACTACGAAGCGACTTGTAGACTCAAGACTCAAGACGATACCAGGCTTCTATCAGACGGGGAAGAGCCAAGGGCCAAGGGCAACAATCATCCGAGCCTGATAGACGGATCTGCCCAATTTTTCATCGAAGAGCTTGCTCAGCTCCAAATTCGAGAAGCACTCTGGCACGTACCCCAGGCAATCCACAACTTGGTAAAGATCAGGATCATCCTTCTTCAATTGGTCAGCCGCTTGCTGGTCAATGATCCCTCCCTTTTTGGCACCTCTTCCAATGCCACGACTCTTTGAGTCACCACTCATTAGGCTCCTTGTCGGAGAAGGGCTGTCTTCCCTCTCCGCCACAGCCTGTCGTCTCTTGGCTGTACCCGCCGCAGCCATGCCACCCCGTCTCTTTGGCGCAGCCTTGGCAGCACCACTGGCCGCAATTGTGCCCACTGAAGGTGCTTGGGCAAAGTCTTCTGCATCATCATCATCTTCATATGGGTTAGGAGGAATTCCACCTGGTGGGTGATTCTCAGCCAGCTCCTTGGCCTTTGCCTCTCTCTTTGCGATAATGTCAGCCGCTTTCTCCTTCAAGGACGACAAAGTGAGCACATTTGGGAGGGTGTTGTTGGCAGTATACTTCAGTGCAGGCGCTCTTCCGGTGATCTCTGCCTGACTGACGTATGTGTAAACCACTCCTCCATGGTCTTGACACAATTGAGTGTCAGCCGTCAGGAACGACTCCGCATGCCCAACTTTTGTCTGCAGGGTAGGTGCCCAAGAAATCGCTATATAAGTGATACAATTGATACAGTATATTGCTGGGACTTAGGACCTAGGACTGTTT